CGCCTTACGGTAACAGAACATGCGAAAACTCTCTATTAAACCCATCTCATATGCCGCGTTTAAGAATCCACATCGGTATGCATCTGAGATGTAGTAAATCTTTGATCACGTGATTCAGTATACGTAAATGTAATGGGACAGATGTGTCCGAAGTGGATAAAAAAAACGCTCGAGATGTAAAAAATGCATCCGATGTGGATTCTCTAACGCAGCAATTGACAAACTTGGCTTCACAGAACACTTACTTTCTGGCATGGAACGAACATCTCATTCACATCTCATTATTCTCATTTCAAATAGAGGACTTCTATACAAGGGAAGTGCAACCAACTTGACAAAATAAAATTGACACTAATGACATCAGGGCTGGTATATCTAAGGGGGTCGCGACATAGGAGTCCATTTTGGACGCCATTTTTTTCGAAATAGTAGTCGCCATTGATCTGGCAACGTGGCAACTTGTAGTCGCTAGGTTTACCAATATAAGAAAAAAAATCAATGTCATTTCTTAAATGACATTTCCATTATAAAATGCCCATATTTTTTAGGATAAAATATTTCAATTTAATAAATTATTAATCTCAGATGTACATAAAATACGTCGGGAAAAGTAGATCACTTTCAATTTTGTGCTGTTTTAGTTTTGTTTATTTTAAAAGGTAATTGAAGAGATGAAGACAATTTTCTTATAGATGATGCATAACAAATTATTGCTCCCTTTTTTAGAGCTCCAGTCCCTTAAGTCTATTTATTTTAGGTATTTTTAAATTGTTGGTAGGTATTATTCACTTCATTTGTATGTTTTTAGTTAATTTAAATAATTTTGTGTAATATCTTGCGATTTGTTTTCTATAAAATTTAGCATGTATTTGTTGTCTACATCTTACAAAGGATGGATTTGAAATACTTTTACAACAGAGGTACTTTCCTAAAACTGGCCGAAATTTGAAACTGAATACAGTTCTTAGAGAAAATCTCCAGTAAAAAATGTCTGCATGCAGAATAACAGTAGCATAGATTAACAAAATCTGACAAAAGAGTTGGACAAACCTTTGTCTAGCTTTTTTAATATTTCAGGACAATAGTGTTAACAGCAGACTACAACAAAAACATCCAAAATTTAGTAATTAAGCAAAATATTCCAGTATCTATATTTTTATTCAAAACTTTTGTGCTTCTACTCCAATACTAACCATATAGAAGCATATGCATTTTATAGTATTTGCAAGATTCGGATCAAATGTACCCACAATTTATAAAGATTATTAAACTAAAATAAAACATTTCAAATAACACCTGCTTTTATGTTAAATATGTTTTTATTAAATACATAAATTAGTCTCAACCACACATATTTTTTTTGTGTTTACTTCTAGTGTAAAAGTGACTACTAATTCAGTCTTTCAAGTTTATTATTTATAGAGACCAGCTACTACAAAATATCTTATTGATGATAACTAATTTCTCTTTAATAATGGTTTTGCATTTATTAACATTTTACAGCACTTTGTTTATATGAAACCTCTATTTAACTCTTAATTAAATCACATTTAAATCAAGTAATTACATTTTCATATTCAACTTATGTATTCTTATTAGAACTTGGTCACTTTTTTTTACTTTGAATCTTTTGACTGTGGTAACAGTCCATTCACCAAACCACAAAGTCACTAAAAAATGTTGAAAGAGAATGTCATAAAGGTAAAATTCCTTCTTCTATCATGTTTTTCATGCAATTTTAGGTTGTAAACGTTTTGTCCAACACCTTTTTTACAATTTATCCCAAGCAACACTATGAAAGATTTAATCCTGGATTTACAGCATTCAGTTTTGAGACGAGTGCAATCACAATGTAGTTTAAGAGATAATTTTCACATGAACACTTATTTACCACAGCACAAACGCATGTACCTATTCATGTAACATTAAAATAAAGTGGAAACAAATTGCATAATTTGGTATATAAAAAAGTACAAAATGTTTTTAGTTTTAATTCGACATTGGACTACGAGGAAAACAGTGGTTCATTCCACTTGTACCATATTGACATTATTATGCACAATGCTCGTTCAAACGAACGTCAGAAAAGTGTTGCCAACTTAAGCTGACTACTATTTCCCCCCTAGCCTCAGTCACCCCCTCATCCATTTACTGGGTCTATGTCGCGACCCCCTTAGATATACCAGCCCTGAATGACATAAGAAATCGGGTCACATAAAGAGGCTGTTTTTTAATTTGATTTTTGGTTTTTCCTATCTACTTTCATGCCATTTGCATACCTTGTTGTACCCGTAACGTGAAAAAGACTTTTTATTTTAGGGTATTTTACATTTAAAGGTTGAAAACATTTGTCAATATCAGCTGTAGATAATGTCAAAACATAAGCGTAGCATTGCATTTTATTTTTTGTTGTTATTAGTCTAATTGTGTTTCTCCTGCTTTCCTGAAATATTATTTTTCATTTGGTTTTATTTAATTATGTCGATTGCAAAATGCTGCTGCTACGAATACAAGTTCTATAAAATATACAACCAACATACAATACTAGTTACGTTATGCCCATCTATGGTTACGCCTGTGTTCTATCATCAACATAATTGACAGCTGACAATGACAAAATATTTCAACCTTTAAATGTAAAATACCCTAAACTAAAAAGTCTTTTTCACGATACGGGTACAACAAGGTATGCAAATGGCATGAAAGTAGATAGGAAAAACCAAAAATCAAACTAAAAAACAGTCTCTTTATGTGACCCGATTTCTTATGTCATTAGTGTCAATTTTATTTTGTCAAGTTGGTTGCCCTTCCCTTGTATAGAAGTCCGTTATTGACGAGTGTCTCACGACAGTAAGATTTTGGCTGCACGGATCATGCGCATTTCATGTTACCTAAATATGACAACTGACAGAGAAATATAGACCGTGCAACGTTGTTTGGTGGTTGTTTGTTGTCGTTTGCTAGCATATAAAAGTTTGTAATAATAGTTTAATGTTTATGATACCGAAGTTTATTCTATTGAAATCGATAAATTTTAAAATTTATATAATGAAGAATTTGATATTAATACAGTTTGGTATCTATTGTACTTTTTTTAACCTGTTCGTGTGGATATTATTTTAAGTAATTTTTTATCATTTCTGTTAAATTTGTATTATATTCTTTTTTAGTTTTTAAGTGGATGAATATTTCTATTATTTTAATTAAGAATTTTTAAACTCGGCTCATCGAGACCTTGTATTAGTGAAAATCACAATAAAAGTTAGCCAAAAAAATATATTATGTTTAATAAATTTATGAGATTAGCAGCGCCATGTGCACATAGTGTTTTTAACTATCTTGATAAATTTTCTATGAGAACATAGTATTGTTGGAGGTATATGACCGTATGTCAGATAATTGGCTATCAAAACATAGAAATACAATAAAAACCAACACGATGGCTCAATCAAAAACCGCCACAACTCAAAAAAACAAAGAAAATTACATTTTTGGTTCAATGGATGCAAAATATTATTAAGTTTTTATTTTAAATCCCGCCACAAACCGAAACATCCTTAGAGATGCCCGAAAATCATTTAAAATCTAGCTACAAATTATCTAAAACTGCCTCAATTCGGGTTATTTTCTGCAAAAACACCCAAATGTATTACAAACTACGAAACAATTCCAGTTAAGGCGCTTTTATAATGGTAATCGTTAATTTTAACAGCAAAATATCGTAGCTTTTAAATAAAATATTAAGATTTTGTCAAAAACAAAATAATCATAATAGAGAATTACAAAATTTTAAAATGAAATTACTCAAAACAACAGTATTTTAGTTGAGCCAGTATTTGATTGAGCCATCGAACAATATATGCAAATTAAAAAAAAATAGGTAGTTTTATTAGTAAACAATACATAAATATTGTGACAATAATTGGGTGTCCAAACATTTGCTCTACTAAAAAGTTGACTAAAATGACATAGTGCAGAGTTTACCTTCGAGGTAAAACTACATTATTTGTATTTTGAATAAATTAAACAAACATTTGTCATATATTATGTATTTCTAGGCATTTCACTAATACTTTTATAATAAAATAGAAAATGATTATTTTATTTGTACACAAAAAAAATGGTAGGTCAGAAAACTATGGTAAATTATTATTTGTAAGTACACAAAAAATGGTAGTCCAGTATAGGTATATTATTTATAAATCGAAAATACTTTTGAAACAGTAAATTATTAAGATGAAAGTGGAACGAATACTTCAGTGTGTAAAAATTTAAATTATATTATTAAAAATTAGACGGCTTCAAAAGCCATCCCAAAAGGTGTTAAAATTAACAATTGAAATATTAAATGATGTTAAAACTTATGTCTTGGATACCTACCACATGGGATCATTAACAAGATATATTTGAGTCATGGAGTAAAATAATAAATACAATAAATGTAGAATCACGGTAGAATTGCTAAATTTGACATCATCGCAAGTTGTCAGTACATTTAGCTTAATGCGCATGATCCGTGCAACCCACATCTTACTGTCGCGAGACACTCGTCTCTATTGAAATGTAAAAAATGTATTCTGAACAGGTACATCTGGGAAAAACAAACGCAGATGTAGATGTGTCCGATGTGGATAAAAAAACGCTCGAGATGTAAAAAATGCATCGGATGTGGATTTGTGGATTTTCAAACGTGGCAAATAATCTATGATTCTACGTCACGTTTTCCACGGGCGTATTACGATAAATTATATTATTTTTTATTAATAACGTGCTATTTTAATAATAATCATTATTTGGCTGCGTATTAATCAGAAATCATTTTTTAGTGATTTTCTTAAATTAAAAGGTGGCATAGTTGAATGTAATAAGTGTTAAATTTAATTTTGATGATCCTTTTTAAAATACGGACCTAAATATACGCATACGTTTAAAAAAAATCATATATGACATCACAGATGGAACAATAAATGTTGAATAAAAGAACACACCTTATTATTTCCGTTTTGTTCTGTAGTCTTGTGTCATTTTATTTTGTTTCGTGCAATTTTGACAGAAACGCCAAATCCAAAATGTTTGATATGGCGAAGTTTTTGAATTAAAGTCGAAATGGGAGAACATTCTCACAGTAGGTTTGAAAAATCTTTAGGATTACTGACAACGAAATTTGTGGGTTTGTTAAAAAGATCCACCGGCGGTGTTCTAGATCTAAAAATTGTAAGTAAGAAAATTTAATTTATGACAAAAAGTGTTGATTTCTTTTTTTAAGGCTGCAGATTTGTTAGCTGTAAGGCAAAAAAGGAGAATTTATGATATTACCAATGTTTTAGAAGGTATAGGCTTGATTGAAAAGAAAAGTAAAAACAGTATTCAATGGAAGTAAGATTTTAGTTTTTTTCCAATCTACAGGTGTGCTAATAATTATATTTTTTAGGCCTTATACTTGCAAATGCTTACCAGGAACAAACACACAAGAGTTTACGGTTAAAATTGCAGATCTTAAAAAGAAAATTAGTAAATTAAATGATTATGAACATGAATTAGATTTACACAGGCTTTGGATCGAACAAAGTATTAGGAATACAACAGAAGATTTGGAAACTAGAAAGTATTTATATGTGACTGATGAAGACTTTTCTCAACGTTTCGATAGCAATGACAGAGTTGTTATAGTTAATACACCTATTAATAATAGTACAGTTAAATTTGAAGTAAGTTTTAATAGTTTTATTTTAATAATTTTACAACTCTTTTATTCCAGAATTCCGAAGATTTATTCCAATTAACCTTTAATTCAAGTACAACGCCAATTTTGTCCACCTTATTGGGAGAAATCCCTAAAGATGACCATGGGAATACTCGAAAAAGAAAAAGGGTACATATAAATTGTTTTCATAATAAACTAATAATAATAATAGCAACTTTATTGAAGAAATTTAATAGAAAAAAGTAGGCAATGTTTTGATTAATGTCATTTTGTGTTGATTAAGTAAACATTTGCAATGATTCAATTTATAGTTTTTGTTTTTATAAACAATAAACAATAGTGTTGTAATTATTATTGAAATTTATATTTTTAAGAAATGATTGTTTTAAATAATATAAAAAACCATTTGATAGGTTATAATATTTATTTTAAGTGTACTAGAGCAGTATATAGATCTTTTGCTACGCTTTGGTAAGTGGGTTTAGTTTCAAAACTCAAGGAAATTAGTAAAAGGAATGAAATAATTACAAACCATACTAGTGGCTCAAATTCGACAAAAATTACAGCAAACATGACGTCCTGTGCTTGTGCACAATTACCTATGTTTTATTAAGACTCCTTGATTTTTTTTTTTTTTTAATCCCAGGCCACAATTTTCTTTTATGATTTTATTTGATGCATTAGCCTTGTATGGCAACATTATAGAGATTTAGAACCAAAAAAATGAGCAGGGTATTTAAAAACTTGTATCTACAATAATTATTTTATTTATTTATTTATTTACGGGCAAACCCATTTGAGAAATCAATGACAATTTTAAAATTATAATTAAAATGTAGTGAAATATACAGGGTGTTTCCGAACTTGGCGTCCAAATTTGTAGGGGTGGTAGTTCGCATAATTTGAGAGCGATTGGCAGATTTCATTTTTCTAAAAAAATTATAATAAACAAAATAGAGCCATTATAAAAAAAAACAAAGAGCAGGTCCTACCCTGAGCGCGTAGCGCAATAGTCCTCAAAAACAGATGCGATATTGATTCTAAGCGTAGCGCTCGCGAGTTGAGGCGTCCCATTGCTGTGCAGGACCGTACCTGTTTATAATTTTTAATTATTTTTATTTTAAACATTTTGGAAAAATGAAATCTGCGAATCGGTCTCAAATTATGCGAACTACCACCCCTACAAATTTGGACGCCAAGTTCGGAAACACCCTGTATATGGTGCTGAAATACAATCGTGGTATAATTTATTACATACAGACAAAAATAGTTAAAGAATTTAAAATATTTAAAAAGACAAAAGACAATAAGGTTGAATAAAATATTTACATTAAAAATTAAAGATCAAAGATTGGAGCTCAGTACTAAGTAATTGCTTCATAAATTTATGAAAGGGGGTGTTAAATATCTCAAGATCGTTATGAGTTTTGGCTAATCTTAACATTCTTGGAATACAGCTGCTAAAAGTATGGTGTTAGAAGTTCAGTACAGCTGCATTTGCCATTGATAATTTTGAATAGTAATCTCAGGTCTCTCTGTTTCCTCCTAGTTTCCAAAGAGGGGATGTTTAAAAATTCTCTATCAAATCATACTGCTGTTTTTTTAAATTCAACTGCAAATATTGCTCTATAGTTTAATGTGGTTCCAGCGTTTTGCAGATCCTAATTTAATGTAATTCGTTATTGCTTGGCGGGCCTTGTAAAAATTTATATATTTCTGACAACACTCGCTGGACATATTAAAATTGTAGATTCATTCAGTAAGGCAGTGGTTTCTCTTGAAATGATTTTTTTGATGTTGCTTGCAAATTTTTACCAATCCCTTTTATATCTTTGTTATCATTTTTTGTCTACCAGTACTTACCCTTAATTTTAGTTGACACGACGGTATTTTCTGTACCCTTTTATTTTTAATTAGCGACAATTTCACATTATCGCCTTGAATAAAGTTCGCCTGTTTGATTTTGTAGGTTTTATTGTGTTTTTCCGTGGTTTTTATGCTGTATTTGGTTGTTGTCAAGTCAACTAGTATCAAATTGATAAAACACCATTTACTTCACTTGTCTGTTTTACACAGAATATTTCATTTCTCTGCTAATTTCATGCATTAATACGTCAATGCGCGTGCGCCCATAGTAAATTTAGTACTAAAAATTGGTATCGTTGCAAACGGAAAAAAAATATTTTTAGTTCTAAATTTAGTACTAAATTAATAACTTAATTTAGTCCTAAATTTAGTACTTAATTTAGTATCGTGACATACAGCCTTAAACTATAATGAATAAAACTATTTTTTCTTTCTTCGAGTTCTATATCCACTCTCGCCTTGAACTGGTTTATGTTCTGGGCTGAGGCTGTATGTTGCTGGAGACCGTTCTACAGATATACAATTCTGTTTGTTACGAAATTTTTTCTTTGCAGTTTATTACACTTTTCTTTATCTAATTTCTTCGAGTGACCTCTCAAGGTTCTTGATGTGCTGGCCTGGAAGATGTTATCACAGGTGTAATATCCGTTGGTCCACTTGTAGGTTTCTATTAGTCTCCTCTAGTTCTTCTATCCTTTAAACTTGAAAGTTGTAGTTTGGTTAGCTGTTCACAATACACATTATTTTGTAGGGTTGGTGGTATTTTGGTGACTCTCCTTTGTACTCTTTCCAGCAGTTCAATGTCTTTCATAAAGTATGGATCCCAGACGGTCTGTGCAAATTCTATTTTTGGTCTTATGTAAGTTGTATATAGTTTGAGGATCATATCTTCGGAATGGTCTTTAAAGGCTCTTTTAATAAGGTAAATGAGACTGTTGACTTTTTTCACTATATTAGCAATGTGGGGTTCCCATTTTAAGTCTTTAGACATGGAAACAACAAGATCCTTTTGTGTTTCGAATGGAGTAATGGCATTTGTATCTAAGGTGCACTGTGTGGCGATTATTTGGGCCTATGTGCAATACTGTACACTTGTTTATGTTGAGAGGTAGTAGCCATTGTTGGGACCATATTCCTATTTTATTCAAGTCTTATTTCATTTTGTGAGAGCTTTCCAGTGGCTTACAGTAGATCTTTTTATCGTCTGCATAAAAGTTAGCTTCGGACTCGATGATTTTGCATAAATCACTGGTGTATAAAATAAATAACAGGGGACCCAAGACCGAGCCTTGTGGTACTCCACTTTGAGCTGGATGGTGTTTTGACAGCTGTCCATTTATTCTTATACAGAACTACCAGTTGAGTAAGAAACTCTTGATCCACAATAATAGGTTGCCTCTTATTCCAAAATGTTCCAGTTTGCTAAGCAGCGTTCTATGTGGAACTTTATCAAAAGCTTTCTCATAATCAAGATATATCACATTAGTTGGCTGGTTGTTGTCATTCCATGCTGTCCACTGGTTAACTGCACTTAGAAGGTCAACAAGGGCTGAGGAAGATTATGCAGCATACAGAAATCAAAACAATAAACTTAAAAACTCATTGGCTGTATCTAGAAAAGATTACGAACATAACCTCTTAAAAAGTGGCGAAAAGAAATTCTACTCCTATGTGAAAAGAGTACTGAATACAAAAAGCACTCAGATCACGCTAAGAAACCAAACAACAAATTTAGAAATCACAGAACCATTCGAGATAGTAGAAAGATTTGCAGAACAGTTCAGTGCAGCTTACACAACAGAACCTGATGTAGAATCACCGCAAATAACTACAACAGAAAGAGTTGAGAATAGCATAGTACATATAGAATTTATCCCAGAAAAAGTGAAATTTGCAATAGATGGTCTTAAACAAGATTCAAGTCCCAAAACAGATGAAATCCCGCCCATTTTTCTTAAGAAATATTCTAGTAGCCTTCTTAATCTCCTCACGACAGTTATAAATGACTCAATGTAAAGACAGGAACTGCCAATAGACTGGAAACAGGCTGTAGTCACTCCTATATACAAGAAAGGTGACAAAAAGAATCCCATAAACTACTGACCAGTCAGTCTTACAAACTGTATCGGTAAAACAATGGAAAAGATTATTACAAAAGAAGTAACCGAGTTTATTTATTTTTATTTATTCAAATAGGTACACTACAGAATTATTATTCTAAATGGTACACAGAGTTAAAAAAAATAACAATTAATACATGTATGTAGAATACCTACACAAAAATATCACATTCACAAAATCACATACATAGAAATAGGTTTAAATATTAAAGCTCAAAAAAAAAAACAACCAAAAAAAAATTATTTTGACAGTTTCAAATTAGTCTTTAGCGCATACAACGTTGTGTTAAATAGGTCACAGTCGGAGTAAAGTTATTGTAAATGAAGCGTTAATTAATTTAAACAGAAACAGAACTAGTGCATGTCTTCTTCTTCTGATTTCTATGCTTTGCATACCACATAAAAGCAGTCTACTTTCGTAACCAACGTTTTGGTAGGGAAAGTGGTGTTTAAACAACAAATAGTGAATTTACGCTGAACTCGTTCTATCCTCTTTATGTGGCAGGTGTAATTAGGATGCCATATGACAGATCAATATTCAAGAATGCTTCTAACAAGGCTGTTAAATAATGTTAAGATTGCTTTAGTATCATTCATATGTTGAGTATTTCTTTTAATATAGCCTAGCATCCGGAAAGCTTTACGGATAATGGAATCAATATGTTCTCGAAAGGACAGTTCCATATCAAATATCACCCCTAGATCATTTGCAGTACAGTATTACCGATTTTGTATTGATTTAGAGAAGGGGTTAACGCTTTAGTGAACTGGATGGTTTTGAAGGGCAGTAGTGTTATGTGTGACTGTGCTGAAAAATTTCAAATCATCTGCATATAGAAGACAAGTACTATTTAAAAAGCAGGAAGTTACGTCGTTAATAAAAAGTGAGAATAGGACAGGACCAAGGTGTGAGCCTTGCGGAACGCCTAATGAAACTGATACTGTTCGTCATGTAAAATTATGAATAGAAACTTTTTGGGAGCGATTAGTTAGATATGATTTTATCCAATTGAGATAGTTACCAGCAATACCTATTTCGGAGAGTTATTTTATGATGGAAAACAGAGTTTTACCAAGCAATCAGCATGGTTTTATGCCCAAAAGATCTGCTGTTGCAAATCTTCTAAGTGCAGTTAACCAGTGGACAGCGTGGAATGACAACAACCAGCCAACTGATGTGAT